TCAACATATTTTCCTCTCTTGCAAGCCATGCCAGGAGTTCCTTTACCTCAGGGAAGTGAAGTCCTATTTTATTTTTGTTTGGAGTAATTTCGAGTTGTTAAGTCACGCTACAAAGGCACAGATAACGTTTTTATAGAGGTGTGCGTTTGCACAAATCCAAAGGAGTATGAGTTCATTGCTGCAAAAAGCAAAGTTAGCCTCTGAGGGATGCCAAGGCTGGCGTTCACCTTTGCAACAACCGCGTGCCTGGAGCCGAGAGGCACTGCAGGCCTCGTGGTACCGCCTCGGGGAGGGCTCTGAAAAGCCACTTCAGTTTTCATCAAGGAAGATAATTTACAGCTCATCAGTTCCATGCAGCTCACGTTAATCCCCCAGCCAGCTCCAGGAACTTGTATTTTGTGAGCTCACACAAGTCCATTGTTAGTATTTTCACCTCTGTAGTGTTGCATCACCATTTGCTTTTTCTTGTTTCAATACGCTATAAATTCAGGTACCTAGTTCCCATTAGATTTTATGGATTATGAACACCAAGTTCCTCTCCTCTCGCCTTTATCTAAACAGAACACCAGCCACTCACTATCTAACAAGCTGATCTGCCAAAATCCATCAAAACACATTCCGATCTTGTGAGTTTATCACAGGCCTTGTTAACGCTTTGCAATGCACTTTGCAGGAACCTCCTCAAACCACGGCTCTTTCGGGACATCCTGATTTTAAGCTCTTCATCAGAAACACGGGCTGAGGTCCGACAGCCTTGGGTTGCAGTCTGCATTCCCCATTGTACTCCAGTGCTTTTGAACTGCTACCCATTTGGATTTGTAACGCAACAATGGCTTAAGCTCTTTTAAGTTCAGATCATCGGAACAACCCCAAACCGTTATTTTTAATACAAGCAGGGGAAAACATGTGATTTGTTACACGATGTTTACCAGGAACAAAATAAAAGCTTGGAAGGACGCCTAGACACCGAGTCTAGAGCCATCATGAACTGTAAAGCGCTGGGGACAATTCACACGTGGTTATTCCCCAGACTGATGGAACTCATCCAAAGGGGCACAGGCACAGCTTGCTCAGGGATGTTCTGGATGCCCCATCCCTGGAGGTGTTCAAGACAACATTGGATGAGGCCCTGGGCAGCCTGATCTATGGGATTGGAACTGGGTGATCTGAGGTCCCTTCCAACCCAACCCAACCCAACCCAACCCATCCCGTGCCTCTACAAAATGTCTTATTTTCCATAAAAAAAGCGCCCGAGTCCCAACCAACACCCCGCAGCAACGCCAACAACGGCGGGGAAGAGGGATGGGGCTGAAGGCTCTGAGGGTGACCGAGCAGCAGCTCCTCACCACCACCACCACATCTCCTCACCATCTCCTCACCATCTCCTCACCACCTCCTCCCCTCACCACAGCCCTTCAGCCCCGACCCCTCCCCGTCTCGCCGGGCTCCCCGTGCCCGGGGCTCCCCTCAGCTCCCTGCCCCGGCCGCTCGGCCCCGGCTGCGGGTCCCCACAGCCGCTAAAAGGGGCGAGAGACCGCGGGGCGCCCTGACATGGCAGCCTCAGCAGGGCCCCTGACAGGAACGGGACGGACACAGCCCCCCCTCCCCTCAGCCGCCCACCCCCCACTGCCGCCGGCCCCTACCTGGCGCACGACGCCGGCGTCCCCCGCCCTCGCAAGTCCCGCCCCCGCTCCCGTCCGCGCACGCCCATTGGTTGCAGTTTGACGGGCATCCCGCGCGGCCAGTCAGGAAGCAGAACGGCCCGCCGGGGCTTGAGGGGGGATCAGGCGCTGTGCCGCCGGGCCCTCAGAGCCGGGGGGGCGCGGGCTGGGTGTGGTGTTCTGGGTACCCTCTGCCCTTTTCCTGCTTTTGCAGTGTTCACACCAAAATGTTGCTCAGAAATGTGAAAAGCTGGGCTGTAGCACGGCCCTAGTATCTGGATTTGGCTGCTGTAGCGGTGTAAATTACGTTTAGGGTCCTCGAGGTCCCCAGTCCCGCAGCCCAGTGAGTTGGGTTTAATCCTGACCAAACCTGCGTTTAACCCACAGACCCGCTTCTGCTCCTTCGTTATGCTACGGAGGATGTGCCTTTTTCCCAAAGATCACGGGGCCTTGTGGTTGTTCAAAGGGGACGCTTCAGAGACCTGGCTGCTGGGGGCTCTCGTTGTGCCCCCTTTTCTGTGGCAAACCGAGCTTGGGGTTTGCAAATAACACAGGCTCACAGGTGGCTTTGCCCAGCCCTGCAAACACCCCACTATGCACCCAGGTATGGGAATTACCCATATAAAAGCATATTCTCAGCCCGTGGCTATAACATGCAAGATGCTGCCCTCGGCATGGCCGCGTTCCCTGCACACGTTATAGGGTCACGGCCTCTGCCAGCTGGACTGATCCCAGTAAATACCCCCTGAGAATAAGCCTGGGTGTTGGATGCACAAGGTACTTCTAATCCTTTCCTCCTCCTCCAGTGCTGCCAAAGGGAAGAATCCCGGTGGTGCTAACTTGTTGCTCTTACTTCTGAGCAGAACCTTAGCTGCAGGATGCTGCCGGCGTTGGGAAATAGGTGAGTTTTTACAGGCTTAAAGGCCAGAGGACCACAGGGCTTTCATGTTACTAACTTTCCCAGTGAAATGTATAAAGACTTATTTTTATCTTTTCTGATCTCTCTGTTGTCACAGCACTCTCCTCTTTGTTCTTCCGCAGCATAAAGATAGATATCAGTGCTTCTCGTGGGGCTGGAGTAAGCTGGATGGGCACTTGAAGAAAGCAGCTTAACCTCGTGACAAGATGCTGAGCAGGCCTGCTGGAGAAAGTAAAGAAATGACCCAGGCCGCTGAGACACCAAAGGTAGGGATCAGTTTTTCATGTGAGTGCATGTGTACCTCATGCTAGGGAGTGCCTCAGAGACAGGCCCACCAAATACGAGTTTGAAAGTTACATTTCAGGTTCAGGAGGCTGATTTCCTCTGTGTGCCTGGCCTTGTAGTGCGGGATTTCCCTGTACGTGATTTTTTTTCGGGTCAGGCTGCTCCCCAGAAGGCAGTGACACTTTTGTTAGAAAATATTCCATCCTGTCTAAATTAATCTTTTTGTTGCTAATTTTGGAGGTAATCAGATAGCGTGGCAGGCAGCGCTCTCATCACATATATTGGTTGTATTAAAAATAGGATTTAAAAAATGATTTCTTGGGCCCTTTTAAGATGGTCCTGGATCTCTGTCAAGAGGGCTCCATACTGTTCCTCCCCCAGCATTCCTCCCTCTCTGGAATCCTGCTTCGTTATGCCTTTTGGGTTAGCCTTGCTTGCTGCCATAGATATTATTTCTCATATTATATTTCACCTTCTCCACATCCCATTGCAGCCACAGAACAGGACAATCCCTTATCCCAGCCTCAGCAGGACAGGAGGGGATAATGTTGCTGACAGAAGACTATACGAGGCAATTAACAGCTTTTACCAGCCGCTGGACGCCGATGGGAAGGCAGGTTATCCCATACTTGTCAGGGAGCCATGGAGTGCCTCTCCTGCTTGGAGGGGAGCACAAAAGGGCCTGGGCAAAGAGCAGCTCTGCTCTACTGCTGCTGTGGTCGCTCTCTCCTTGGTCAAGGATTTTTCAAGAGTAGGTTCCAAGGCAGCGTTTGCTGATAGGAGTGGCCTGTGCCAATGTGCCACGCCACCACTGCCTGCTCCACATCACTGGGGTATGCTCAGGATTGCTCTGGGCTCCTGTCTCTGTGCAACAAATGGTCCCATGAGTGGTAGGAGTAGGCCAAAAGCCATATTTCCCTCCATGGCTCTGCTGGGATCAGTGAAAAAGAGTAATGCAGAGCAATGTTCAGCCTCTGGACTTCCTTAGGAGGGATGGAGGAACGTCAGACTGCATCTGGACTGATCCAGACTGCCCCAGCCTTCCAGGGCCTGGCCTCGACTTCCTAGTGCTGTGGTGTTTATCTACAGCTAGCTCCCTCCAAATGCCTGCCCTGGCCTAGCAGACTTGTAGTGGGTGGCAGCGTACATCCCCCGTTTCTCTCCCAGTTGGTCCTATTTATAGGTTTCAAATGATGGCAGGTGGGGAAAGTGAGACATCTGAAGTATGAGGGACTGTCACCGAGAAGGCAGGGATATTTATTTGAGTTGATGAAACTTGTTGTCATTGCACAGCACCAGGAACTCTGCATATGTGGTGGGGGTCATCATTTCCAGAGCATCAGTGGGCCTGTCAGGCAGGACAGAGCAAACAAAACGCGGTTAGAATGGGCAGAGGGATTTCTGCCTAAATAAATTATACCCAGTTATCACCACCTGGACAGCAGTCAAAACACCAGGAAGTTTCTCCTGAGGGCTAGGATAACATCTCTCCCTCGATGTTTTGTTAGCAGTCTGATCTCCCAGAGCTGTCTCATTTGGCTTTCCTGCACGCTGAGGGTGAGCTGAGGACAACCCGCTCGGCCACAAGTCAGATGGGCTGAAGTCTCCCTGGGGATTTAAAGCCCATGGAGGGTGTTCCCATTGTTGTCTCCACTACTTCTTTTGTCATTATCTTATCTCTACAGGCTGTCTTCCTCAGCTGCAACAGGAACAGGAAAAATCGTTCTGGAAACTGATCTTGCTGTGATGGGCAGGTTTCACAGTCCCTTCCCAGTCTCAGCGGCTGTTTCAGCACTGGGAGCACTTGTTATTCCCCAGTAGTATGGGGAATGGCCAAGGTTGTTCTCTTGCTCCCCAATACCCAGACGGCTTCTACCATACTTTAGAGAATCAGGGCTGGAGCAACAAAGCAGCTGGAAAAGAAAGGGACTTCATTTCTTTGTGGTTTTTGTTTGTTTTATTCTTCGTCCTTCCTTTCACAGATATTTCAGTGGAGGTGCTGAGTAAAAGTACCATTTAATGCACACTTATCTATGTGCCATTTCTTCCTCAGCCCCTTTCTGGGGGGATTCTACATGTATGCAGTCCTGTGCTGGGGCAGAGAAGTGAATTTGTTTACCTTCCTCAAAGGGCTGATGAAGTACCTTGGTGCTGGTCATGCAGCTGAGCGTGATGAGGAGCTGGAAGGAGCCAGCTGGCAGGACGTTAATGGAGCACTGGTTTGTGCTCTGAAGACAGCTCTGAAGAGGCCAGAGGAACATGGCACCAGATCAAATCAGGGATCCGTCTACTCGAGGATCCCTCTCACAGTACCCAGGGTGGTGGCCATCCTTGTGCATGATCCTGGAGGTTGGTTTGACCTCCAAGCTCTTCTCTCCTCTTGGGTAAGTCCTTCAGGGCAGCAGTCCCAACCCACCCCTTATTCCCAGCCCCTTGGAGACTCCTTTCAGGCCACTGTTTTTGTGCCACCCAAACAAAGGCTGTCAAAAGCTGCAGTCATGTATGAGGATCGAGGGCAGTGGCAGACAGCACTACAGCAGGAAAAGCAGGTGCATGCTTTCCTGGTGCTTCTCCTCCTGAGACCTTTTTTTTGCTGAGTGTGATAAAGCTGGAAGTTCAAATGGGCTGTCAGAGCTGCGTGGATGGTGGATGGCTGCTGCAGCTTTACAACTTTTTTAACAACTTTACAACTTTTTTACAACTTTTTTTACAACTTTTACAACTTTTTTACAACTTTTTTTAAGTTAAACGAGCCTATGGGATCCAGTGGGTAGGAGGGATGGTGTACACCCAGTATTCTATCCTGAATCTCTGTCTGGGGGTGGGACAAGTCACTGAGCAGAAAACCAGACCTTCTCCTTCGTTTGCTATCCTAGGTGCTGGCAGCTGAGCTTGCCATGACAGCAGATGCAGAGGCAGTGGTTAGTGCTGCAGCCAGCCTCGGCTTTCCTTGTCTAAATACGTTGCTGTAGCAGTGGTGTTGGGCCGAGGGAGAGAAAGAGCCCTGAGGAAGCAGAGGAGAGAGCAGGTATGTGCCCCTTCCCCACAGCCTCCTCCCACTGCGAAGGTGTTTATCCTATTGACAAGCACTGTGGTCCTTTCATAACTGCTGCATTAGCAGAGGATCAAATAGCACTTAATGGGAGCAGTCTCCCTCCTGAAGTGTGATTGAAAAGGTCACCAAGGTGGATGGGGGAAAATATTTGCAGCAGGCTGACATAAGCCTTGGCTTCTGATTGACAACAGGTGGACGTTTTAAGCGCTGCCCTCCCCGTCCAGCATTTCGGCTGCCCTCCCCTCCTTCCACAACGCTGGCTGAATGTTTTGCAGTGGCGCCACGGAGCATCTGCCGAGCTCGGTGGGAGGCACATGGGGCAACGCAGCCCAGCCACAGAATTCAGGGAAGAGGTGATTTGAGGCCAAGCGTTGCTTTCTGAATTGGCAAAATCAAGGAAATCAGGCAAACTGTAAACAAAGCTTTCTCGTGAAACTGCCCCAAGCTGAATTGTTCGGTTGAACATGACGGGGCTCTTCTATTTTATGGCACAAAATTGATTCTCTTTTTTTTAATATAGCTTTATTACTCGAGGCTGCTGGTTTTGCTGGGTTTTGCCTCTCCCTGCTGCTGGCCCTACAGTGGGTTTGATGAAGTGAAGTTGCCAGGTCTCAGATTACCGACATTTTTAACACCCTCAGTTTGTCCAAGCCAGCAGAAATCTTACTACTGCCCTGGCAAGCCTGTCCCCGAGGTCACGGACACATACTGATTGCTTTACGTGTCTTCTCACCCTACTCTCTTGCTGCTTTTGGTGTCCCATCTGTCTTATATGGTTTCATCTGGGAGAATGCAGAGCACTGAATCCAGGCCAAGTTGCTGATGACAAGCCAATTAAAGATCTAGCAGGAGAGGAGTACCTTAATGAAGGAGAAGTGGGAGGAAGGGCAGTTTGCCAAGGCTGTGCTGTGACACTCTCGCTTAGGAGAGCTAATTGTGTGTCGTAATTGATGGTTCAAGGGAGCTATTCACTGCACAGACTAGGCAGAGGAACAGAGAGCTCTTTTGATGGCATATTCTGAAAGGCTTTGATGGGATCACAACTTCCAAGGGCGAGTCCATCTTCCGTGGTGCCAAGCAAACAGTTTGAACACGGAGCTGCACAGTCTTACACCGCTCTAATAGCTGATCTGGAAAGTATGCTAAAGCCACGTCAGTGGAGACAAAAAGCCTAGAGCAGGAATCTTCATGGGACCACTAGTGGTCATGCTGAAGGTCAGGTGCTGCCCAGCAGCCCTGAGCACGAGCCAGGTCGCCTCCCTGCAGCATACAGCGCGCTGGGAACAGCCAGCGTGAGCGGGAGGTGGGTTCTGGCGCTGGCTGCAGGAGGTGCTTTGCTGGATTATTTCATTAGGGACGCGTGTGCTGGAAACTTGCAGGGTAACGTGACGTTGGCCCAGCCCATCCTCGCAGGGAGCTGGTGGCAAATGGCCCAGTTACAGCAGCGTGCTGGCGATGAGGTTGCTGACAGATCCGCATAGCAGGACGCTGGTCTCAGGGCACCATCCTGTGTCTGCTTCTCTTCTTCATCCAAGTCAGTCAAAGCAAGGCACTCCTTCACCTCTGGGAGATGCTGGAGTGTAAGGAATACTTGCAGATACTAAGAGAATTTTATTGCCCTTGGTTTGGTTTTGCTTCCTGGCTCCTGTTTCCATGATGCGTTCCCTTTCTGAAGGGTAGCACTGACGTTCCTTTGACTGGCAATCAAATTAACTGGTAATGAATTACCTAACTCACCAAACAGGAGGGATGAATTGGAGAGTCTCTGGGATGCAGTCTCTAGCTCTGAAAGGGAGTGGGGACTGGCAAATAGTTGTATCAGGTCTTGTGTGTTTTGTCCTCAAGTTCGGAGGAGGAATTTTTCTAGTGGTTGCCCCAGGGATGAACACGTCTCACGTTAAGCAAGTCACGCAGTGGCTCTGTGTTTCCCACCTCCTCAGAAACAGTCTGGGATGTAACTCATGGACAGCATCACAGTCCAGCAAAATGCTATCAGCCAAAAAGCACCGTAAAGTGCTGTTATTGTAGCAGCTGTGTTTGGCACCAGCCTCTGCCAGGAAGGTCTGTTTGCAGCAGAGAGCCCCTGCCCTTGACAAATACCTGCGTTCACACTGTCCTCCCTGCCCTGCGACCTCTCCTCACAGCTTCTAAACTTCCTCTCACCAGGGTGGTTATTTCCTTATTATTGACACCTGTTTGGACAGACAGGCGCACTGACCATTTACAGAGCCACCGGGACTGCAAGCTTTTATGCATCCCTATATAAAGAGGTGTTAAAATTGGCCATGTGTAATTTATAGTCTGCAGCAGGAGACTCAGCCCACTGGGACGCAGCACGCTGGAGCATTAGCTCTGCTGTCAGCTCAATTGTCAGCCGGATGCCGAAGGAGTGGATACCCTTCGGGTCACAGCTTTCCGCATTCTTGATCACAAGTCAGCAGAGTCATGAGCCTTAAGACAACTGTTGTGATTCTTAGGCCCTGAAGCACTCAGCAGGTCCTGATAAAATGCTCTTACACAGTCATGTACACAAACACATGCTCACACACACGTGCATCCCAAATGATGGAAGAATCATCGCTATGACTGGCAGAGAAGACAGACACCAAAGTGGTATTTCTGTCTAGATCAAATACCAATCTGTGATTTCTACCTTAAAGATATGAAAGTCTTGCCAGCAGGGAAGAATTAGGACCCTCAATTAGGCTTTGATGGCAGGGGTGTTGGTAGCTCTCAAAGTTTGTGTGTAAATGCTGCCTTGTTAATTCGAATGTATGCTTTGTCTTACTTAAAGGTTTCTTCATTGCTCCACTGCTGACCAGATATATAGGTGCCCTGTCATACGGAGCACAAAGTTCACTGTAGTTTGGCTACTGAAGGAGAATGCCCAAGGATAGGGACAACAAATTGCCAAAATAACTGAACAGCAAGTCACTCCCAACTGGCATTTACTGCAGCCAAGAGTTTCCGAGTCCAGTGTCTCATGGCCGTTTGTCCTCCCAGATTTGATTCCTGACCTTAGAAAAGACCTCTGAATTTGAGTGGCAGAAAGCTGTGTCACAGTCCCTATTATGAAAGTTAAAAAAAAATCCGTGTTAATTTTGTCAGATGCTTCTGCTGCTTTATTCCAACTATGAAGCTGTTTCAGACTCAGCCAGATCTAGTGGTTAAAAATCGGATTTTCCTCTTTGTGGTCAGTTATTTTTATTTTTCCTTCTGTCACCTTGTCCTCCCTTTTGCCATTTATCTTCATCGGGTTTTTATTATTTTTTTCCCCATCTCTCTTTTGTCAGACTGAACAAGTCAAGCTTCTTCACTGTTCTTTAAAACACCTAGCTCCCTAGTACCTTGAGCAGCCCGTGATCCCGTCTCCATATGTCTTCCTACTTTAGCAAATAATTCTTGAATGTGCATGAACGTCCGTGTTGCCCACATTCTGGTGGAGCCTTCAGAGGGTGAGATGGCTTACGGCTTGATCCAGGAAAGCATCAGCTCACTGTTCTGTGGTTGGAGTAAAAACAGAAAACAAGAAGAAAGAAAGAAATTAATTTTTGTTAGGAATGTAGAAAACAAAATAGAAACTGTCACAGTGCTGCTATAGATGTCTCTGGTGCTGCTGGTCTAGTTGTGTGCCTACATCTTGAGTGCAGTCTGTGCTTCTGTTGGCCATCCCTGGCTCAGACAGGATATGAAGGTGAACGGCAGTTCAGAGAGGAGTGATAAGGATAATGAAATGGGCACCCACCCGTGAAGCAGATAAATGGAGATTTCTTTTGAAAACGCAAAAAGCATGGTGGGAATTGCATCAAATAACTGTACAGACTGGAGTGGGAGGATGAACAGAAAATGACTGTTAATTGGTTTTCGTTCTCCTAGTGGAAAAAACAAAGTATGGGATCAAATAAAACAAAAGAAAACAGGTAAGCACTGGGGTGTAACCAGGGTGTGGAGCTCCCTTGTCATACAAAGATGTCCACAGACCTTTCCTCCAAGAGAGGCATGTTTGTACCACCTATGCAAGGTCAAAGAAACTTGATCGCTCAAGGTCTCTTCCTCACTGAAGGCTGATGAGAGCAGCTTGTATCCTCTCCGAGCATGCACAAATTTATTCTTAATAATAAGCTAGGGCTTCCCAGTTATTAATAATAACTGATATCAGACTGCAGCATGTCAGCAATTCTTCACAGAACTTTAATGACAGACCTTATGGTAAGCAAAACCATTAGAAGGGAACTGTTGCCAGGAATCCTAAATCTCTGACAGTGGTATGCTAAGGTTTGGATGCTTCCCTCCTAGCCTGCTTTATGGGGATAGTTTGTCAAGATTATTTTTGACTCTCAAAATTTCCCTCTTCTGCAGTGATTGCCCTTCCTTATGGTTGTTGTACCTTTGCAGATGTGCCTCTCGCTGACACCCCGTGTTGGTGACCACCAGTGACCCAGCTGCAGCTCGCTCTCAGCTGCCCACTTAGGCTTTTGGGTTCACTAGGGGTTTGCTTGTACCCAAGTCTTGTATCAATGCTCTGACCTTGCATCTATGGAACAAAGGTTAGAACCATGTGATATAGAAAATTATAAAGCCTTTTTTATAAATACAGCAGGGAGCACTGCAGGCCTCAGCTGCTCTGTGAACTGTCACAGCTTTCCTGCCACCTTCTGAGCAGGTCAGCATGGCTGGGGGCCTGGGAGCTGTTCATGTGGCTTTGCTGTATAGCTTAGTGCGAAAAAAAAACATTCATTCCTTAGGCGAAACATTTAGGGAACTGCTGGAACTGCTAGAGCCTGAAAGAGGCTTCAATTCTTGGAGACTTATAAAGGCAAACTGGGGCTGTCCCTCTCCATTTACCCTCTGGTTGAGCTCAGAAATCAGCTGACATAGTTAAGCTGACAGTCATTAAATTTATATGTCCTTTGCTCCTGTCATTCTGTCCTCCTGTCTGATCTGGCAGTTTGGGTCTGTTGACCTTTGTGGCA